TTCCAGAAGGTTTTGGTTATGCAATAAAAGCCATCTGATATTGTTTCTACACTGCTGTTAAGATGAAATGTTCTTGTTATATCCTATAATCTTACTTGAGCTTTCTGTTCTTGATGGTTTTTCTAAGCCCTGGGCTAAAAGGCATTGCGTTAGAAATTATTCACCCAACAAAATGTCCAAACTGTGAGGCACTAAAATTCTATATTTTTTTTTCTACTTCTCAAGACAGCAAAGATCAAGCAGTAGAGCTCATACTGCTTCGAAGTGCTAATATGTGTTGAAGACTCAGGATTTTTTTGGTTATTTGAGCTGGAATTTCACATGCCACCAAACACACTGATCTAAATCAGTGCCTCCCCAGGGCTGTGTCTGCCCAAGGGATGAGGGTCCCTCGTGCCAAAGCTGTGTGTGCAGGGCTCTGTGCAGTGCTCTTGTGGAAGAGGTGAGGGTACCCAAGCACTTTGTTGCGCTGATGCAGTGCAAGCTTTCAGCTGCTGATCATTCACATTAGGCAGAACTAATTTATCTACTGATTACTCACCCTCCTATAAACTTTCAGTTGCTGATAGAGATTTTTCAGGGCTCCTTTAGATACCTCTGCATGGTATTACAATATACATCAGAGGAATCACCACCATGTCAGGCACTCAAAAAATTATCAACAGTGTTGGACTTGTCATTGCTAGTTAATATCTTCATTTTTTCTTGTATTCATTAATTTCCTTGAGCGTTTTGTGCATCTTTAATTAAATGATTGCATGTCACTATGGTTGTGTTTGGTTTTTTTGCACAGGACCCCTCTTCCTGTGCTCACAGTCCTTTAATGAAAAGCTCTTCAACGTTTGATTTTCTGCCCACTGTTTAATGTATGGCCTCAGGCGTTAGTCTGCACTCTCTTCAGACACTGTTTAATTTTCTCTCGTGCTCTTTTCTAGCATTTACTGCCACAATTTTTGAATGCTTCTCAAAACCTAATGAATTTGTTTTCATGGGACAGCTGCTGAACATGAGGAGGGGTTTATTCCCCTGAGCAAAGGAACAATTCTTAACGTATCCTAAATACTGAGATGTAAAGACTATTTTTCTGAGAGTCTAAAACACAGATCTGTGACCTCAGTGGCAGTGCTGACCCTCAGCATTTCTCAAACAGTATCAGAAGTCCCAGAGGTGAACATTTATGAAGTGTCACTGTAGTGCTCACTTAGCAAAATTCAGCTTAAATGTTTTGCCCAGCATCACAGAATCTGGCTGTATGACAAACAGGGAAATCTGCTGTGTCTTCAGCAGATCTTGGTTAGTCATGAAATTGTCCTTCCTCCATCTTTCCAGCTCAGTACTTCATTTACTGCATGCTGCTGCTTTCCAGTCATGCATGTCACCACAGCCCCACTGATTCCCTCCGGTGGGCTTTGCATTAGAAATCCCTGAGTGCCTGAACACCAAGTTAAGGTTGCACTGGACTGTATCAGTTCCACAGAGACCCCCAAAAATGTGCTGTGCTTAGAGTTAAAGCAAGAATTCTAGGGAGAAGTAATATCTTTTATTAGGGTAACTGGTCTTGTAGGTGGACACACTTTTAAGTGCATGAGCCCTTCAGATTCCTCTCGTGTGAGCTAAATTTCTCCTAAAAACTACACCTCTTTTATGCCCCCAGCTGTTTCTACAGAAAAGAATCAGCTTTGTGTTTTTCTACAGAAACAGCCCCCTCTTACAAAAGCAAACAGGAAAACAAGAGGTGGCATTACATGTCAGCAAATGGAGTCCCCAGCGGTTCATTAGCGGATTAAATGCAGGAGAGTGACCACAGACCTTCGAGTTAATGGAGTAACTGAAAATAATTTTGTTCTCATCCTCTCTAAGGATCAGCTGTTGTGGGGAAGAGGTCCTTTTTCTGTCTAGTGTCATAGCTGTCAGAATGTAGGAAATAGGTGATGAATTGGGAATGCTGAATTATTTTCTGATAAAAAAGGGCAAATTTCAGTAATTTCTACCAGACTAACTAGGAAATTAGATTAGCAGCTCTGACACCTTTCCACTAACTGTTCCCCTTTTGTTTGCATCTGAGTATCTTCTGTAAAATGCATTAACAATACATTCTTTTGGTAGGACTTACTTTTCTGTTGGTATTCATATAGTTTCTGGCACAGAGGGGATATGGTTTGTTCTGGGGTAGTCCGGTAAACTTAGCTGAGCTGTTTTCCAAATAAACTGATTTCCTTCTAAATTCTCTAATTTCAGTTTACATTAAACTGACAAGGTTATCCTGACTTTAGGGACAGTATTTGCATTAACAATTTAATTTAGACTAAATTAAAATAGAATAAGGGGATTGTAGCAATCTGTCCAGATGGGTGAAATCATCTTTCAGAAAGTTTCCTAATCACAAATACACAGAATTTTGTAAGTCTGCCTTATAGAAGTCCTACCCCCTTGTATAGATAATTAAAGACTCCTAGGAGCAAAGTTTTAAACCCAGGTGTTGCACTTTCCAAGAGTGTTTTAGAACCCCATAGCTGAGAATTCTCCGACCTACATAATCATTTTAGCTGATCCATGCAAAGTGGATCAGTTCACATGGAAAAGAATGACAGTAAATCCTCCAAGCACGTTTCCAAAATCTTCAGCCTGGGATATACAAGGATAAAATTCCAGGAAGTCAACAGTGGAACAAAAAAACTAAGTGAAAAGAAAAACTTTCTATAAAAATATAAAGTACAACTATATTTCCATGTTCCTTTTTGTTTTCATGCACATCATTCTGGAATTTTACATTATTCTAGTTGTTACCTCACCCAGTTTTCCTCTACTGAAGCTATTCATAAGATGTTTATCTTTTTGTATCTTCAGTATTTTTATTCCTGAGAAAGAATAATTGAGATCTTGTCTCCCATTCATCTTCTGCTCTGTGTGATACTTTATCTGCACTGAGTTTAGGCAGAACTTCACAGCTGATGCAACATACTTGGAAGATTTTCTTACTTTTAATAAGACAGAGCATCCTTAGGGTTTTTGAAGAGCTCCCAGAGGAGTCAATAGGAAGAAATGTTCATCATTGCTTAATGGAAAACAGGAGTCCTCCTGCAAAGAGAGAAATACAGCACCACAGGATGTTTTATTTCATTGCTTTATATTACAGAAGATCTGCTTCAAAATTCTGAGTCTGGAGTAACTTCAGGTACCTGGAAGATAGAAATTTTCCTTGTCTTGAGTAGCTTAAAGGATTGAATTGAGGAACAAAATTAAAAGAAACAGGTTTATGAATGGATGCAGAAGAAATTATTCATACGCGTGCTCTGAGGACCCAAATGTATTTTGGGAAGACGATTTGCATAGAGTTGGCTACAAAAAGGAAAACAAGCTTAAAGTGTGGTCTGTTTGGAAATAAGGTTAGTAAGGGTGAGATTCCTGAGACTGGTAAGAATTCTTTCTGTAAAGAAAGCTAAATTTCAGTTTGTGGCCTGTAAATATTTAGTAGTTTGCATTCAGGAACAATGAATTATGGATTTAATATGAAACAGAGCAGTATTTGGTGCTGTGTCCTATGCTAAAATGAGCAGTTCTGAACTACTTGGAGACATGGTGTAGATCTGTTCACTGTTTTCCATGATTATGTTCAGTTCATCCCATCCCCTGGTCACAAGAATCTGCTGGGTTGGAACGTTGATTTCAAGTTTGGATAATAAACCAGTAAAGAGCTTGTAGTTCTGAAAGCACCAGGCAATATTCAATACTCCCCAGTCACCCAGAGCTCCTGTGCTGGGAAGGACTGGAGTTTGCTGCATTGCTGGAAAAGCACTGGCATATTTATTGTAAGCAAGGGCAGCTTGCACACCTGGTGTTGGCAATGAGCTTGCATCTACCTGGTAAAGCAGAAATCACAGTGTTTAGGCACATGAACTGTTAAGTGGCAGCTCTCAGGCTGTAAAGGCTAAACTAAATCCAAATCCCCTCACATTTCCATGGGCTAACAGTGTGCACAAAGAAAGCTATTGCACATCAGCAGCCAAGTGCTAGTTTTATTGCTTGCTGCAGCTCTGTTTGCACCTGAGCCCCAAGGAACAATCCATCCTTTAGAGATCCTGAACCCCAAGGAACAATCCATCCTTTAGCCTGTTTGTGCCTCTCCCAGTGCACTCTTGATCTATGACAACACAGTGACAGACTGGTCAGTGTGGGTGAAAGCAATCTGCTGTGCTGTCTCAAATCTCAGATTAAACTTGTGATTTCCACTTGAATTTTTAGTGCATAAAGCTTCAGTATCCCTGTCCCTATCCTAGTTATCTTGTTCTGTACCTCCTGACTAATGATGACTCGTTGCTTTAACATTCCACTAACAATAATGTATATTTCTCTTTTCCCCTAAGAGTGGTACAGTCTCTCATCTCCTCTGCAAATGGACAGCCCATATGTCTTCTACCCCTTCCCAGAATAAATGCCTGGGTACCTATGCCTTGATTACATCTGCAAGTCTCTTCCTTCACCCAGAATTTATAAGGATACATTCCTATCATGGCATTTCACCATGTCAGCCTAAACTGGACTGTAATAAATTAATAAATGGTGCACTTACTAGATGTAGCATCAGGTGATGATGGGAAGGGGATGCTGCCTTCCCGAAAGTGCCTCCAGGGAGGAAGACAACTGGGCAGGCTGCAATCACACACACACAGCCACACTCACATGCATGCCACAGATAGCAGAGAAACAGCAGAGAGCCAGAAAGGGTCTTTGTATGGAGTTCCACTGGAGTTCATTGCATACACACACTGAAGAGGTCCAGGAACAAAGAAAGAGGCAGTTGGAGGGTCCAGGGATTTATATGGGTTTGAGAGGGTGGATCCAAGGGTCAGGGTCCAATAGGAACAGGGTAAAGTGGTGTGTGGGTGGGGTCAGGGAAGGGAGAGCCAGTGGGATAAGAGGGGTGGAGATTGCAGCAAATTGGGGCCAATGGGGAAACTGGGAAGGGAGAACTTTCTAGGGAAAGGACAGAGAAGGTAAAAAGGGGAGGGACGGCCCACAGGCCACCTGGGTACATCTAACTGGGGTACAGGGGTGTGGTGGTACAAAGAACTATGGGGAAAGATTTCTTCCTTCTTCTCTTGTATGGGGAAAGCTTATTTTTATGCTTCAACTTCATATGTTAGAGGCCTCCTTCCACACCATCACTGCCCTTGGCTCTGGAGCCTCCACAGCTAGAGAAAATAAGCTTAATTGCAATCATCCAATTGCTTCTGGTTGTTCTGGTATCTCATAGGTCAGGTGTGATTCACGGGGCACTTCCATCCCATCCATCCATCCATCCATCCATCCATCCATCCATCCATCCATCCATCCACTCCATTCTTCTCTTTTAGCTTTAGTGAATAGGAGCAGCAAGGTGTTTGCTCAGGAAATGTTGCACTTCCTTTACCTATGGAATAAGGGGAGCTGGTCCTGCCAGGGCTGTGTGGCAGATGCTGGAAGCCAGAGCTGTGCTTCATCCCATCCAGGCATGGTCCAGCAATGCAGGGAGTGTTGGTGCTGAGTGTGGCTGGAAGGCATCTTCAGAACTGCAAAGTGCTGCCTGAGGTTGGATGGTTGTGAAGCAGTGGGACTTACACCTACCTTCCACAGGTCATGAGCTTCCAGGAGTTTTGCTAGCTCCTTTTGAGCTGAGGAACATTTTGGGTGTAATTGTGATCTGACTGTGCCCCAGTGACAGAGATTGCATCAAGGTGTTTAAGTCGCTCAGCCATGAATGACTTTGCTTTCAACTATGTGCCTCGTTTTTCAACAGGATTTTTCTGAATTTGTCTTGCTTCAGAGTTGAAGCATTGATCTCTTCTGGGAGAACCTTTCTATCATTCAATATATTTGGTAGGGGAAGAAACTAGTGCTTTGTAAATGTGGGCCTGTGCTAATGTCACTTTTATTTTTAACTCTTTTTTTCTGCATATGACATTTAATGCCATCAAAAATACCTTTACTTTTGCTGCTGCAAATGTTTAGAAAGGAGTTACTGCAACTGTGGAGGTAGAGCTGCAACTCTTGTAGGTGTAGCCATGTCTGATAAAAGGTTATTTTGACTGGGTGCCATTAGGAAATTAGTCCTGGCAGCACAAATCTCACTGTGGGCTCCTCATGGCTGCCAGAGACAGGAAGTTTGTGTTTGCATGGCCAACCTTGCTGAACTTGCTGCTGGCACTTCACTGCTCGGGGGACCTGGACCTGCTGAAGCAGAGCAAGTGTGGGCTGTGGTCTCCTGTCACTGGGTATGATGATATACTGTGTTTCTTAATTTATTTCTCCCTGATCCCTATCTCTTGTCATGAAATTAGAATTAATTCTTAGCACATAGGGGTTAGAAAATTTCCTGTTTATTGTCTATATGGGACTGATTAGAATGGAAATTCTGTGGAATGATACTGCTGAATTTTGAGTGAGCAAGCTACCTTCTAGTAGTGTTTTTGGCTGTTATACTTTTAACAGAGAATGAAGATTTAGGATGTACCACTTTTTAATTAAAAAACATATTAAAAGTAATAATGATTAGCTTGGATATTGTAGTCTGGTCTGGGGAAGAGCTGAATTTTGCTGGGCTTTGGCATTTAAGTATCTCTGTGGAGCTGGCCTGGAGTCTTCCACCTTGGCCATATAAATGATGGAATTGTGGCTTCTGTATGTAACCTCAAATGGAATTCAGGGATGAAAGAAGGAAAATGGAGGAGAAAAATAAGTAAGGAGAGGAACAGCCAGTTGTCTTACATAAAATGTACTATAGGTGTGTGATCAAACACAACCGCCTTGTGAGAAGGAGAGAAGAAGCAGAAATAAGAAATACAAAAGGACCAAGAGACTATTCTGGGAATATGTGCAGGAAAACATACATACAGTCACTACTGATGCAGAGAGAGGGATTAATTTCTCTTTCCTGTTAAGGGGGTAAGAGGGTAGATGGTAAACTAACCTTGGGTTAGTTACCTTTTAGATAACTCAGGGTATTTTGAAATTAAAATTGAAGCTGCTGCAGATCTGATTTTCAGAGATCTGATGATTCACCAGGTACATTTTCAAGTCCTCAGCACTGCAGCTAAGGCTGATTTTCCTGATGTGCTTAGGTCTGATTTTTAAACAGGCGCTTCACAGGATGGCCCTAATGTTACTCTACTGGGAAGAACATTTTCCAGCTGAAGTTCTTAACACAGTTGAAGTGATGAGGAGAGAGATGAGACCGAGAAGGTTATCTCCCATCCTTCCAAAATGGGCTATTCTGCATAATACATTCTTGTGTTTGTCCAGTTTGACTTTAAATTATTCAAACTGTGGGCATCCCTGAAGTAACCTGTTTCATAACGAGAATCTCAATGAGCCCTTCAGTTCACAGAACAAACCCCTCTGCATGCCTCTGGAGAGCTGCATGTGCTGATTTGGGACGGGATATGGGCCGTGGAATATAAATTGTTCATGGCCAGCCCCAGGGCTTGAGAATGACCCTGTGATCTGAGCTGGGGATCTCAGCTTAAAGCAAACCAGCTGACCATGTGTGCATTAATCTCTCTGTAGGAATTTTAAAGTGCCATCCCGCGAGGGCCATGAGGGGTGTGGGCTTCAGTGGAGCCTGGGTTATGGCTGCTCTATTGGGACACCATTAATTTGATGATACATGGTCTGGATTTGGCATTGCTCTGCCATGCCTCTTGACTGCCACTTTCCAGGTCAATGCAGAGTAGTGAACTTCTTACTTTTCAGAAGCAAAGTCAGTGGAAATCCCCAAGGAAGCATTGGAGTCCACATTGATCGGTTGGTGGTAGCCAGTCAGCAGGGCTTGTTTTTCAGTTTCAGCTGTTTTGCCACCTGGAACAGTCCTGGACAGTTTTCTTTCCCTCCTGGGAGGGAACATTGTACTTTTCTGCTCCCTTGATGCTCCTGGGATGGTGCACAGGATATAGAGGCACTCAAAGGGTTCCCATCATGATCCCTTTTCTGTCACAGGACAGGAGTGCTGCCTGTGTCTCGTGTCTCAGGATATGCATGTGCTGTTCTATTGCACGTATCACAGAGGGACAGGAGCTCCCAGAGCAATACCCATCCTAACTCCCCTGTTCCTGCTGCCTCCCAGGCTCTTCCTGCCACAGGACAGGACTTTTTGAGTTGATCAGTGCACTGTCTTGGAGAAAGAGAGGAGAAAAACATTGAAATGAAAGGTGTGTACCATTAATATTGCAAATTCACAGCATCTGTAAACTCAAGCCTACACAATTTAAAATTTGATTAACTTAATCAGGAGATTAGACAATTCTAAGTCCCTTAAGTCCTTTTATGATTTGCTTCTATAATTTCAGGTGTTGAGCTTCTAAAAGAAAGCTGAAGTCACCAAGTAAAATTCAAACGCTGCAACATAGCAGAATGCATACTGGATCACTCCAAAGGTCAAAATAGTTTCTCTTTTCATCTCCTTGACAATTGTCAGTAGCAATTGCCTGGAGAAAGAATATTAGACAAGTATAAACAGACTGTGTATTTCCCCCAGCATGTCCTCCTTGCAGCCTGTGGCTGAGGATGTTTCTGTGCCCAAGGCCATGTCACTGAGTTTTTTTCATACAAACACATATAAACTTCTGGAATACTGGGGCACTGAGCTTCAAAGATTAACTCTCTGTTCTTGGAAAGGGAAAGGAAAGAAAGAAAGGTCTTTTGTAAGAAGAGGATAAATTGAAAGACATGTTGCTGTTCCTGTGCACCTGAGCCCTGAGGTGGCCTTTACTCCTTGCTCTACCCCTGCAGTGAAGCCATCAGTTCTGTGTTTCCACATAAAACCTGGACAGCTCCTATCCCATTTTATTTCTAAGAATCAGTAAGGTAAATTTTTATATTTTTTGGGATGCAGTGGAATTGTTCCCCTTACATCCTAACTCAGTATATCAAGGAATAGGGCTCCCCTCTGCAGTCTAAATTACTGCCTAGAAAAAAGAGAAACTGGGACTGACCTTGTGTCTAGTCAGAGCAATTCCTGTATGCAATGAAATAAGTTTGCCAAATTACTTTAAGTGAGAAATGTATTATTATTTTCCAGTGAGGTGAGAAACCCTTTTGGTTTCCCTAAGTGAGGGTCTAACGAAGGTCTGGATGTTCTGGAGGTCTCTGGAGTAGCAGTATGTTTGGAGTACATGGTATGGGGAGCAGAGATGGGGAGGGCAGATGAGATTCCTGTGCAGTTAATGTGCTGCTTCCCAAGAAAATGTGTGGGAGCCAAGCCTTGCTGAGCTTTTTCCCTTGTGCTGTGAGTTTGTGCTGGAGTGTGGATGGGAGACACCAGTCTGTCCTAAGCAGTGTGACTCAGACTTCATCTTCATTTTCAGTGTCCAGGTGAAAATTACATAAAACTCACGAGTTTCAAACTGCTGTAGAAGTTCTCCAAATTTCCAGGAAAAGAGGTGAAGATAAAAGGAAGGGAAGACAGACTGAGAAGGAGAGTAAAGGGACAATGCACACAAAAAGGAGAAAAGAAGAGATGCGTGTCATTGCTTTTCATCTTAGTGGCTTTGTCACCAGGCTGGCACGCTCATGCATTGTAATGCACTTTTCAAGTTACAGGGTGGTTTGAAGCCATGTCTGGTATCAGAGATGGAAGAGAAAGTATCAAGCTGTCTGCCTTCTGCCCTGAAATTCAGTCCTTGCCTTGGCTTTAAGCCACTAAAGCACAATTAAAATAGCATGAACAGGACGTGTCACTGAAATGAAGATCACAGTGTTCCCTCGAACCCTCTGGTGGTGCCCTGCGGAGGCCCCGCGACAGAAGGTGAGCCCAGGGTATGGCTTGCATCCCTTGGGCACTGAGGTACAGGAAAAAGGCTTTACAAGCACAGCCAGGAATTTATGGCAGGAGCAGATGAGGAGACAAAAACAAGAATATAAAGCAAGTGACAGAACTGGAGACAAGACAATTACAAGTAAATTGTCTCTTCTCTCCCTCTTTTTCCAGCAATTTAGTACTAAGAACAGGCTCAGCATTGTCAGCAGTAAAGAAATGTTCTCTGTCTCCAAGCCATTCACTATGCCTTCAGTAAATCAGCAATTTGACAATCATCACAACAGCAGAAACCTTCCTTTGTATTGGCACTGCTGTGTGGACTATATGAGCTGATGGAGCCACACTGTGGGACTGCAAATCCAGGGTCTAAACTAAACCCTTCCACTGTGCAATTCCAGTCCTCGTTGTTGGGAAACTGATACCACTCAGAAAAGATTTTGAAAGACATTTTTTTTTTTTAAACAATCCTCGAAACTTCATCAGCCTCAAGGCACCTGAGAGGGCACAGCCCATCTCCCTAGCTGGTATGATGGCTTATCCTCCCTCTATTTATGGAGTCTTTCTGTACAAAACCGTGTTGAACTCAATTGCCCTGGCTCAGCAGAAAACCCATGTTCTCACTCAGTACCTGTTTAAGCATGAATATAAACCCATGCACATGTAAGACCTTTGCTGAGTCACGGGAAGTGACAGCAAACTCCTGTGCCATGAATTGCAGTGAAAGCCAGAAAAAAAAATTTAAGGGCACCATTAACTTGAAAATCCCACTCCGCCTGAAAATTGTATCTGTTCTAATTAGCGGTAGTGCTGTGACTGAGAGAAAGTAGCAAGGCATAAAATGTCTCTCCCCTTAGCCTGATAATTGTTCTCTTGATTGTGCTTTGAGCTCTGTTGTTCTTACTGCTTTATTTGTTTTTTTCATGCCTGCTTTGCCTTTGCCTCGTGCATTAGCAAGAATCGTAGGATCCAAGAATCATTAAGGTGGGAAAAGACCTCTGAGATCATTGAATCCAGCTATTAATCCTGTTCACCACAAAACCGTGTCTCCAGGTTCCAGATCCACACGTTTTTATAACCCTTCCAGAGACGGTGATTCCACCACTTCTCTGGGCAGCCTGTTCCAATGCTTGAACACCATTTCATTTCCTGGTATCCAATCTAAACCTCCCCTGCTGCAGCTTCAGGACATTGGGTGGTTTTGCTCTTGCCTGGGGCACTCTCCTTGCCTCAGGCTGTGCAGAAGGACACGTCCTTGGGTCAGCAGCAGGAGGACTCACACTGCCCTTGCTGGGTTTGATCTCTGCAGGTGTCTTGCTTTCCCAGTGAATGCTCTGTGGGCAGGATAGGAGGAGTGAGCTGGGGAGCCAGCAGGTGTCTTCCACTGCTGATCAACAGCACCTTTCTCTCCCTTGCCTCTCCACTGGAAGAGGATTAGAAGTATTTTTCAGTTTTTGGGTCTCTGATAAAAATGATGGGGAATGGAAATTATTTAACTGCCCACTCCAGTGCTGGCAGCCAAGGGTGAGTGCTGGGCCAGGGTAAAACTTGTCTTTCATCCCTTTGCTGGGGCTCTTTCTGGCTTCCCCACAGTGTGTCATCATGTGGCCCCACAGAGACTGGTGTTCCTGGCAGAGGATGGAGAGGGCAGGAAGTTTTCTGACTCTGCTACCTGTTTAATACCTTCTCAAGCCATGTTTGCAAGAGCTGTAGTGTTTAACACCACGGAGTGAATGGGTCCTGCTGCAGTGAGAGCAATAGAAATGCTCTGAGTTAACCAATTTTCCCAGCTGTTTCCAGTATTTCAGCTATCCTCCAGTCCCAGCTAAGTGCCCTGTGGGTCATTTGGAGCCTGTTTCCAAGGCTTCTCTGCAACTTGGCACCCAACTCTTCCTCCACTGTGCAGCTCCCAGCCTGAGACTGGCAAAAAATGCAGTATTTTGTGGTGTGTAGCCATTGGACAGGGAAGAAGTTGTGATTTATGGGCCTCTCCCTTACCTTTCTACGTGCCTGTCCAGGTGTGTCTCAGCATGACAAGCTTTGTGCCAGGCCTAACAATCTGCAGGGAAAGAAAAAATCCACTGAAAATTTTGGTAACTCCTCAGTTTTGAAAGAGAAACACAATGTGTGCACCTGGCAGCTCTCAGCAGAGTTGCCAGTGAATATATAAAGTCTGGAAAGTGAATATATAAAGTCTGGAAAATGCTCTAAAAATCCAGTGACCTGCTGATCTCTGCCCCTCAACTGCTATTTTGGTTTTGATGACTGTTTGGATTTTGGTTTATAGCACCTGTAAAGGTTTCTAAACTGCAACCACACAAGTTTTTGCACAATGGGAGGGGGTATGCACTGTTTATACTGCTCAGAAAGAAGCACAGTTGTGTGCTGAGCTGATACCTGTTTAGGAAAATAGTTTAGCAAACAACTTTAAATAAAATTGCTGAATAGGAATTCTGAAAAAAGGTTTTTATCAAAGATACGTACATATCTGGATTTCATGTGTTTCTTATTATCTGTGGAAGGCTTAGATTTCTGATTGTACAAATATGATAGGTTTGTCCATCCAAAGATGTCCATTATTTATGGACAATAAATTTGTAGCGCTGTGTGATCAGGTTGGCTGTTTCCAGAGAAGAGGGGTGAATACAATATGAAATGTTTATGTATATAATGTACAGGAGAGGTGGAATGAACATTTCTCTGAAACAGAAGGAAGAAACAAATCTATTTCAGTAATATCTGAAGAGGGAATAAATAAAATCCAAATCAGGCCACTGAATGGATGTTTGCTTGCATTTTTTGTGGCAAGGTACGTGCAAAGAGGCAACCCCCCAAATATTTATATATGCATGGCACTAATGGCATTTAGTCAGCAGAGGGCAGGGTTTGCTGAGCAGAAATTCTTTCTGCTATGAGAAATAAGGCTCAGCAAAGAGCTCCTGTGTCCCACTTGGTGCTTTAATGCCCTTCCTGCACTCTGGTGCTTACCCTCCAGCCTAATTCATCTGTTCTCTGGTTCAGCTTTCTTATTGAAATCTCCTTGAATAAAATTTATAACTCTCTGTGTGTCCACCTACAATGTACCATTAACTCTTTGGTTCAGTTAAGCTCTTTAGGATATATTTATAAGCTTTTTAGGTTCAGGGACTGTATAACTTTGAAAATCATTGTGGGTCATATTCTGTCTTTTGGGAAATGTTAAAAAAGTGACAGAGTCACAGGGAAATTTTTTTTCTGAGCTGAGGTCAGGAAAAAGCCAGAAACTTTTGCAGGAAGGAGTTTCAATTACAGTGAACAAAAATAAATTCTGGAGTTTCTTGTCCTAGGAAGGTAATAAGCAGACAAAAAGGCTGGGGAGAATATTAAGTATGTTGGCAGTCTTTTACCTGAATTGTGGTCAAGACATTTGAGGCTTTAAGCCTTTCAGACTGCGTGTGGCAAATTATTGATCTATTTATGTTATCTGATATTGACATGGAATCCCTGTAGCCTGTTAGAAGGGAAGTTTCTTGAACTATATAAAAGCCCCAATGTATTAATTATTTTGTTAAAAAATAGAATAAATGGCATAGTCCAAGGACTGATAGGCAGTGAATGATGAGAGAGTTGATTCCTCTTAGAAATTCCATGAGGAAAAGGTGATTATATGTAGGAAGACTTAAATCTAGACCTGTTAGCTTTAAAAATTTCCCTTCAGCTGCTTTCATCTGTGGCAGAACTTTAATCAGCTTTACCTGTGATTGCCCATATGAAACGCATGCAAGGTTGTTTGGAGGAAAATGTAGAGAAGAAAAGAAGAGTCACAGCAGCAACCACAAACCTGTTTGTAATCTCTGAAATACTTGAAACAGTTCAATTTTCTGTTAGCCTAATTCTTCCTTCATTAAATTCTGGAGTTCCTGTTGCTTGTTTAGTGTGTATTATTGGAGAAGTTTTGTCTTTTGGGGGAGCAGTTAAATTCTGTAGTAATCTGAGGAACCTGCCTAATGCAAGAGGAGTGAAAGAATTAGCTGCTGCAGCTCCTTTAGGTTTCTTTCTTGTTCTGATATGAGCTGCTCCATTGAAATGCCACTGATCTACCTCAAATAAATCATAAGAAGCGTAGGAATGGTCAGATTCTTGGAGCAGAATGAATGTTTCAGAGTAGTTACATCCTCGGGGGGGATTGAGTATTTGGTCTAAGAGAAAAGTCTCTTAAATACTACCAGAGGTTGTAAAATTAGGACCTTGAACCAACAATATTCTCTTAACCCAATGTAGAATATTGAACCCAATATAAAAGGATTTAGGTAGGAAAGAGTTAATTGATTAATACATATTAATACTTACTTAATTGGCTTCTTTGAAAGACAGGTAAATAAATAGGAGGGACAGTCTGATGCCTAAGCAGAGTAGAAGGTTGTAACATGTGGTGACAGCGTGGACATCTCCCAGCCTCTGACTGTCCTTGTGTGGATTGTGGCCTCAGTGCTTGAGACAATCCCTGAGGAATTTAGCCTGTCAAGCACGGAGGGCTCCAACTTCCAAGCAGGAAATTTCCTATCGGAATTTGGCTCCTATTTACTATATAGGCATCACCTATTTCAC